AAAAATATGGCATCCGATATGAGTCTTTCGTCCTTGGCTTGGGTTAAGCTGTCCATAAACACGAGCATATTTGTTACGCAAGGACGGTTTCGGAGAAATCCGTGTTGAGCAGGAGATATCAGTTTGCTGGAAGTGATGCGATCTAGGATAGCTCGCTTCAGAATGCATCCCATCACCTTGCACGGCATGGTAGTGAGGCTTATGGACCTGTAGCTGCCAGTTGACAGTCGGTTTTTGTAGATTGGCCTGACAATAGCTTCCTTCCAAGCAGGGGGAAGGCGGCCTTCGTCAAGCGACTGGCTAAACACTAGGTGTAGATGATTTGCCAGTGACGACAAGATATAGAAATTGGTCATATTGAAACTGCATAGCACACAAGGTACAAATTGGTAAAGAATGGGTGAACCAGAAGGATAGACTAGAGGGAGACAGCGGAAGCTCGCCTGCATTGAAACGGAAACGGCGGTCACAAGTGATGCAATGCTCAAGGTCACCCCTTTGGATATAACGAAGTTTCTCATGATCCGCACGACTCCCTCAGCTAGAGAACGTTTACAAGTGCCAAAATGTTGTATTTTGTTGCGTTTATGATCAATCCAAAAACTTTTTTGTTCGACGTTAATGTTTTTGCAACTCACAAAATTTCATTGTTCACTGTTGCAACCGTGCCTCTGGCTGAAAAGTCTTGTGGGATTATTTCCCAGCGTCGCTGAGACTCCGGGATGCCTAAATAATGCTTAAAATCTATGCGGGTACTCTGAACCCCCATTTCTGATTGCTTTAGTCCATTAGGGACCCGTTATGGCACTTGAATTTCATTAAATTGTGCGAATACCGAGCACCGATATCCGAACGGACATCGCAAAATCTTTGTAGGGGAAATAAACACTTTGATATCAAAATGTTGCATTTGTGCATATGTGCTCACTCCGAAAGTCATCCACAAGTGGCTTAATTGTTTTTGCGTTTGTTTTAAATAATCTCCTTCCAAAATTTTAAGTGCATAGTTGACTTTGAACTCTCTGTGCAATGGCTTGAGAAGTGGCTTCATAAGGATTTGTTGGTAAATTTGGGGCTGTATCCCCTTCATCCTTCACGACATTTGAGGAGGCCCGAAATCGATACATGAACGATGACTATGTGCTATTTTTTCGTTCATCCAGTGATCGAATCACCAACGCTGTTCAGCGTTACGAACGGATGCACTAAAATCCAGCAGGCGACCTGCAAAGCCAACAAAAAGTCAGGGAATCCGAAGAAGCTAGTAAGCTGAACGTATTTGCCAGTAAATAAAACAGTACGCGAAGCACCGGCTATCCAGTGCGGTTTCGTCTACGGAGGGAAAGTAACGAACTGTCAATCAAGTGTTATTTTGTTAAACACAATCATAAGTTGTCAAGGGTTTTGTACGATCGGCTTCCTGTTAATCGACGGCCAACCGAAGACGTCTTGTGATTTGCGGCAGCTTGTGGCCGATAACTTCGGCAAGATCTTTACCACAGAGGATATTTACAACTATTACCGGAAATGTCGACTGGTTCTATTGAGTAGGTGCCGCATAATTGGGTTTTATTTTAGCAGATGACATGCCTTTTGTCCTGAAAGAACTTCAGGGGACCGGACCTAGATTATTGAGACAATCAGAGGGAGGTCACTATGGTCACAGTGGCAGCTAGTAGCGTTGTCCTGATTTTCAGATGTAATTAATGCAGAAGGAAGGTATGAAGAATCCGCCCTGGCTAAATTTTACAAAACACCTAATATTCGGCCTATAGATACAAGATATACACCCTGATAACAGACGGCATGGGAATCGGGCATCCGGTTATGCATGCGTCCTTGAGAAGAGAACAATTTCTCCTTATTCGTAAACTTTTCAGATTCCTCGTAGTGATGATGGGCGAAAATTATCCAGTTAAGACTTTTGTTATGGATGAGTTCGCGGCACAAATGC